GGGGGGGGGGGGGGGGGGGGTGTACTCATAGTCGTGCATGCCGTAGTCGTTTGACCATTGACCTCGCATCCCTACAAAGCCGGGACGGAGCACGCCGGGTTCTCACCGGACCAGGCTCTCACATCACCAAGCGCGAAGCGCCGTGAGGTATTTGGCGAGTCGCATGAAGGGTGAGCTGCCATCCTGCTAAGGGTGTTCGGCATCTTGTGCTTACTTCCTTGCGTACGGATGACAGCTGCGTATGACTTAATTTATTTTCTGGTGCTTTCACTTCCAGAGACAGTTGTAAGCACTGTGTAACTGCCTCGAGGAAGCTTGACCATTTTAACACAACGTGGTGCGATCATCCCCCGTTGCGCGGAGTGAGGTTTCTCCACCCCGCACAACATGATCTACTCGACCACCATTATGGTTACCGCCAAAAAAAAAAACCGAGGTAAAAAAAAAAACGGTAACCTGGTTGCCGAGTTCACGAAGTGAATTGGCTTGTTTTACAACGTCGTTGCCGAGCGACGAAAACCCAATCCCGATGGCAAACACCGAGTGGGGGGCTTGTTTTACAACGTCGTTGCCAAGCGACGAAAACCCAAACCCCGATGGCAAACACCGGGGGGCGCGACGGGGAGGGGGGGGGGGGTAATCATAGTCGTGCATGCCGTAGTCGTTAGACCATTGACCTCGCATCCCTACAAAGCCGGGACGAAGCACGCCGGGTTCTCACCAGACCAGGCTCTCACATCACCAAGCGCGAAGCGCCGTGAGGTATTCGGCGAGTCGCATGAAGGGTGCGCTGCATCCTGCTAAGGGTGTTCGGCATCTTGTGCTTACTTCCTTGCGTACGGATGACAGCTGCGTATGACTTAATTTATGTTCTGGTGCTTTCACTTCCAGAGACAGTTATACGCACTGTGTAACTGCCTCGAGGATGCTCGACCATTTTAACACAACGTGGTGCGATTATCCCCTTTGCGAGGAGTGAGGGTTCTCGACCCCGCACAACATGATCTACTCGACCACCATTCATGGTTACCGCAACAAAAAAAACAAAGGCGAAAAAACAAAAAACGGTTCTCGACCCCGCACAACATAATCTACTCGACCACCATTCATGGTTACCGCAACAAAAAAAACAAAGGCGAAAAAACAAAAAACGGTAACCTGGTCGCCGAGCTCACGAAGTGATCGGCTTGTTTTACAACATCGTAGCCAAGCGACGAAAACCCACCCCCGATGGCAAACACCGGGGGGGGGGGGGGGCGTACTCTTACGTTTTGCATGCCTTAGCGGTTAGACCATTGACCACGCGTCCTCGAGAGGATGGAGCATTGTTCCCACAGGACCGATCACCGATGGCCAATCGTTCCTTCCTACTTTGCCAAACGTGGCTCAAAAATGTCTTCCCTAGTCTGTTTATCCTAACGATATCCCTTCCCGCCTTTTCAAACCACTTCCTACTCCCCAGTACAGCTACCGTCCTCTCCTCTCTATTCCATGCCTCAAACATCTCCCTGTACGTCCCCTGTATTTTCCCCAGCTCAGTCATGTACACTTCCCTCTCCTCTTCGTACCACGGACATTCCGCGACTACATGAACACGGTCTTCGCATTCGAAGCCGCAATCACATTTGAACTTGTCGTCTTCGTCGTCTACCGTCCTATGTCTTCGTCGACGTTCTCGAAGGCCTATGTCCCCGGTCCTGAATTTAACCTAAGCTTTGTCCCTGCATCCATTGGTCCATGTAGGTAATCCTTGAACCCTATTCCTTCTTTCAACATTCCGTACACTTCTAGACCCTCCTTATCCTTGGTTTCTTTCCTTCGATTCTGTTTTTCTCTCTCGGCACAAGCAACAGATATCTTCTCCTTGAACCCCTGTAGACCCTCCGTTTCCAGCGTTTCATTTTCGTCGATGCCTAACCCCTTCCATACATCCTCTACAAACACCGGGGGGGGGGGCTTGTTTTACAACGTTGTTGCCACGCGACGAAAACCCAACCCCGATGGCAAACATCGAAGGGGGGGACCAGAACGCGGCAGAGCGTCTATTTAGTCACACCACACGCAAAATATTATGAATCAGCGTACCTTAGGCCGGAGGCTCGCCAAGCCACTGTGAGCGACGGCGAAAACACCGAGTATGAGAGTTACTGTGATTGTTGAGTCTCCTCCAGACAATCCCTCCAGAAATCGAACGAAATCGTCCCCTGGTCAGCGGCAACGTGCGCAGCGAAAACGTGAGAAGGAACACCGCCTTGACGGCAGGGCGTGTACTCGGGAACATGCACCTGTGCTGTCGATGATCTATCATGCCCTTGTTTACACCTCGTTCGGTTGGTTCTCACAGTATCAACACCGCAGCTAAGCATAGCGCTGCATGACTTCTCTCAAATATGCAGGGTGGGTACGGCAGGTGGACACTGACATGAAGCGCACCACTCTGCGAAACGTACAATCAATTTTAGCAACACAAATGGATGGCGCCAACTACGTTGTGGATCTTAGAGACCGTTTCCCACCGGCGCCACTGGAAATCTGGATATACCTTGCCAGTAAAGCTTTCAACCACGAAACCAGAGGAAACGCATGGATTAGCCAAAACCGGTAGGAGCTACCTGCAGCGATCGTTCGCTGCCTTGTGCAATGCCTGGAAAGGCCTGCAACTCACCATATCCAGTCTCGGGCTTGAGCCACAAATAGTACAGGGCAGTCAGCACTGTACCAAGCACAGCCAGAAATGCACCCCAGCTCTTCAGGCTCTGTTCTTCGAAAGAAAACACGGCAGCGTCTTCTCCGACAAGCCCGGATTGACGCTGCAAGTCCTCGAGCTCCGATGCTGACATTGCAAGTGGATTCACCGAGGATCCTCTGTGTCTGCTGGTTGCGAACCAAAGTAAGTCCGGCAAAGCAAACCAGGAACTGTGCATCAGGGGTTCACATAGCCTAGAGGGTGACTGTTGGTTCGATGTATCCAAAGTAGGCATGCGAGGCGATATGCTACGGTTCATGTAACTGCTGTTGTGGCATCCATCCCTACGCGGAGTGTTTGTCATGCGTTGTACGGGCAAATTCTCGGGCCACTGCATGAAGACACTATGTAAACGAGATACGAAGCACGGCGTATACCATTCTCTGCCTCTGCCCACAAACGATCACCAGTGGCAAAGACCTACCGCTAGCCGCCTGCTGGGAGCTGTGGCGGTAACCAAGCGGAACCTGGAGCTGTCATCAGTACCTACTGGCACCGGTAACCGTTGCGGGACCAGTATACGGATTCGTAATGAGGAGCTACAGGTATTAGACTAGAGAGCTGCAAGATGTCTTACTTGCAGACTGAGAGAGTTTGTCACGAGTTAAAAACAGTAAGAGGACGTTGTGATGTAAGTTGACGGGAAATGGAGGGAGGCATGCGCACGTGCAATGTGAGACGCCAGCGACAGATGACAGATACGGCTGTAGCCCGAGAACACATAGATACAGCAGTAGATGTGTACGTACTGATGTTCCTACAAGCGCTGAATCATCATGATACATGCGCCGTGTGCCGTGTCGCATACTGATGCCGCTTAGGTAATACTTCTCACCTCTCCCTGGTGCTCATCGTAAAACCGTTCCGTGCTTTCCCTGCTCTAGCCAATTCACACGGCAATACGCGTGATGTACCAACTCGCGAGCCACCCCTTGAGTATCCCACCGAGCACAAGCCGATCCTGTTAGGCCCAACGCCTAAGAAGCTCGCACATGGGGTGATGAGCAGTAGCAGAACGGGTGCAAGCTGAGCTCTGTACAACATACTTAGACTTTCTGACCTGATGGCGGCCTCTCGGTACCTGAGTAAACCAGACACGACGAGAGCAAGACACTTCAGTTGTACATACGGTATAGGTACGGCAACAAGTCAACGGCGCGGAGCAGCAACAAGGTTGGGCAGCGGGGCTTATCAAGGGGGGCACACAGCCGCGAACTGCACGTACCACGTACCCATGAATTTTGCGCAGATCTACACTTCTCACTTCACACCTCCGGAGACAGTGCTGTTGCTGTCCTCTCCTGGTCCTGAGTCCACACTTTTACACCCTTATTCCCGAGCGACCCCAAGCATCATGTCAGCCCAGGAGGTGAGAGTTCATCAAGAACGCCGCTCCCTGTGGAATACTTCTTTCCATTCGTTTCAGCAGCAAGCTTCACAAGGATATATGATGCCATTGTATCCATGGCTGTAGGCGACGCCCTTTTCTAGAAAACGGAGCATACATAAACTCGCAGAAAGCCGTACACCGTTCGAGATATAACCACAGCAGCAACACCAAACCAGGACCATCGCCTTGTCAGCAGCAGGCTGGCCTTATCACCATGTTATTGCGCCAGCTGTTAGCGGAACCGAAAATGCGTGTTTATACTGCACGTACCGCAGCAACCCCCAGCATTTCCTCGCGCGTTCTCGACGTGTCCCATGCTTGAGACCGGGAGAGCTGCCCAGTACAGCAAGCAGGTCGTCAGCTGGTGTACATGGTTGTTGTCCACTCGCTCTGATCGTAGTTGTGTGTCTGCTATACAGCATGGTACTGGGAGACAAATAAAACTAGTATGCATAGTTTGACAGATACTGGTGCCGTGGGAATTGGAGTTAGGGCGAATTCGCTTGTAAGCTGTATGGCGCAAACGAAGTCTTGGAACATCTGCCGACCGAAGGCAATTGTGAGAGCAGTAAAGACTGCTGTACAGAGACTACATAGTCCTGCGTCGGATCTTCAAGAAAATGAGCCAGGTCTTTACCTCTTTACCGAAGGCGACATAAGGTATCACCCACCGGGCCGATTTTCAAAGCTCGATTATTGTTGTAGTCGACGACAAAGAGCGTGGCGTTAAATGAAATTATACGTTTTCGGAAAGCTCTCGACAAGCGGTTCCAACGCCGTTTTCGGCGCCGTCGCTGGTAAATAAATCGCAAAGATGGTGTGATATCTTGTGTCACCTACTGCAACAAACTGGAATTATTTTGTTCACTTGATGCTGAGATTATTCGGAATGCTAATACTATTTAGCTGCACGTGCAGCTTTTTCAGCGATGATGACCTGAGGCAACCACTCATTATTTGTCTACCTTTACGTACATAGAAGTGCCATTTTATGTGGTACGCCGCGGCACGTTTCGAGGACCTGTCGCTGTTGTGATGCCCCACTGTAATGAAGTCCCCCGCGAATATTTTGTGCAAGACACGAAAAATTTTCGGGTCGAGGCTCAATTTGTTATCCGTCGCCACCATCCGTAGAGGAATGACTAGTATGGACTTGAGTGCAGGACCCAGCTGTGCGTTGTAATCTTAAATTGTTTACCTTTGTTTTTCGTGAAAGTGAAAGTTTGGGCGTCTTTTGTGAACGGAATACTTCTTCGTTGCGGGCCTATTCTGGACTCGAATGCTCTCATCTTACCGTGAACCTTGGCCGCGGTTACGCCTATTGTACTCATCAATGCTGCGACCTATACGCGGCAGCAGTAGTATGGACGCCATTGCCGAGCTGGCCTAGCGCGATATAGCTACGGCCCATTGTTGAGCTCTCGTTCGTTGTTACCTTTTGTCGGCAAGGACCCTTCGCACTTTGACACAAACGAGCGCCGTGTTCTACCTTGTGTGCCTTCTCCCTGTTTCTTGGTCAAACAGTGGAAAGACAAGGGCAACGCTGCCCTCAAAGCCGGTGATTTCGAAGAAGCCATTTCATCGTACACCAAGTGAGAGACACAAACTGCGGATGCTTGTATTGGCACTCCCTGCTCAGATTGTCGAGCTGGGCACCTTTCTCCGCCATCCTCGGGGGAACTTGCAAACAAGATGTCGTGTTGGTGTATAGTTCACGCTACGCCCGTAGTTGTGTATTCGTCATCTTTCCAGCACCCAGGTTTCATCCCACATCCCTGTCGTACAAAAGATTTGGATCCAAAAAGGTGTTAGAAAAAGAGTCTACGGGACTGCTGTTGTGTTGTACTCCGAAGTAGTACTTACTAATCAAACGTCTTCTTGGCGCTCTCTCCATCGAAATGAACGAAGCTGTTCACCAACCACAAGATGGGGACGAAGCCTCACCTGTCGCATACCGATAGAAAGAGCAAGACTCGACGGAAATCTTACGTGTCCATTTCATGCTATCATCATAGTTTCTGGGTTGTGCGGGAATTCTGGTCTGTTTTCTCAAAAATATACCCGTTCGCATTTGACTCACTTTGTTGCACTGGATCCTTCTTTGGTGTTTGTGCGGCGCAGGGCCATCGATCTGGATCCTAGCAACCACGTGTTCTTCTCCAACCGCAGGTGAGGAAAATCGAGTCACAAAAGCTTGCAGGGAGCGTTGGCCAAGGACAAATTATTCAGGTTTTCGGAACCAGCCATGAGTGTGCAAGGTCTTGAAAATGATTGTAGCCAAATCTGTTCACCGCCTGTTTGGCGTTCGTACAGTGTATGCAACCCCGAATGACGACGGATAACTGCTGTGTCTGGTACTGCAGTGCTGCTCATCTTTCAAACGACAACGCTGAGCAAGCGCTCGCAGACGCCGAGTCGTGCATCAAGGTCAACGGCTCCTGGGCGAAGGGTTTCACGCGAAAGGGGGCTGCTTTGCACAAACTCAAGCGGTAAGCTGCGTTTGTCTGAGACTTACCTTAAAATCGATGATCTCGAGGGGGTACGCCCGCCCGCCATGTTCAGAGTGCGGATGTATTTTCCCAAGCGAGAGAAGGGTCAAGAGTGCATTTAAACACACCCTCGAATTCAAATGAGAAACGCTTTTCGCTACAAATGGCCTATTTCGCAGATGCCACGATTTTTGGGGCCGGACCTCTTGTGTTGATTGATTGACCCACCCCATCGATTATGGTGGTGGCACAAACGACCACTATATACTAGCATTGGCACATGTGCCACCCGTGCTGCAGCATGTGGATGGATGAACACCCGTTTTCCTTACCATCGAAGCCCTAGACTTTTTTTCTCCGACTTGTGTTTTGTCCACGCCTTTGAAGTTTTCATACAGCTGCTCCGGTGGAACCGTCACTTTCGCCATCGCGGCGCGCCTCACAGAGACTGCACACTTTTAGATATGATCCCATCCTTCAGTCAGGAACAGCAGTTCCTTTGCCTATCACGTCCTTCCGTTTCGAGAAATACTGCGTGACGATAGTTCGAAGGACCGTGGCAAGCAGCCGCAAAGCATGTTCTGCTCAGCGATATGTACATATCATGAGACGAACTTGACATGTACATATACCGCGGTAGGAGGAAGATTGTGGCCCCTTGGCAATTGGCGGCAGGCTAGATGCATGGGTTGGATCGCGATCATGAGGATCACAGTCGACGTCAGCGCTTAACAGCAAGAAGTAAACGGTGCAGAATCATTTCGTCGAAAGCAAACACGCTTTCAAGAGTCGAGCGTATTACTGCGTCCGGAAGGATGGCACCGATAGATTTGCCGATGTACGGTACAGCAGTTGCACACTGTCTGCGAGTTTTTTTACCAGACGCTTATGTTGGATCGCCACGATAGCCGGGTTTATTTGCAACTTTGGTGGCATACCTTCACAAGCGAAGGCTGTGTCCCACGAATTAAACTTTGAGAAAAGAAAAGGATATTTTCCCACGCGGCACTTCGGATGGTATGGTCTGAGGCCAACTTCCCGTGGTACAGCGACAATCAACATTAACGTGTTTGCTCACAACGCAGGTACGAAGAGGCGGCGGAAGCCTACGAGGAAGGCTTGGAGACCTCACCAGGAGATGCGGCGTTGGGACGCGGACTCCAGGACGTCCTGAAAGCAAAATCAGCAGCGAGCAAGGCCCCTGCTGGTGGGAAGCCCGCGTCTAAGTGCATGTGGTACATTTCGCAGTTGTCTTATTTGTATTCCTGTTGGGCACTGAGCCAGCTTGTGACTCTCCTGATTGGACATCATTACCACCTATCTCTGTAGATGTAGTCCACCACGGCGGCGAAGCTTCACGGGCTCGCATTTTTGTACTGGTTTTGTTTTCCCAGCAGCAGGTGGAATGGGCGGCATGGGCGGTATGGGCGGGAACAACCCAATTGCGAACGCGTTCGGTTCAGACATGATGGCGAGGCTGGCCGCTGAACCAAAGTTCGTACCGTACTTGGCGGACCCGTCGTTCGTTGCCAAGCTCAAGATGCTGCAGCAGGACCCCAACAACATGCAGATGCATCTGTCAGACCCGCGAATCATGGAGGTATGCGCCTTGTGCCTACTTGGCCGACGATGAGCGACTGTTTTTCGGGAAGTTTTTGTTGGAATCTGGTCGAGCTTGCCAAGGACCTGGGCGGAATCCTTGTTGTTTTCGCAGAGGTTGGTTTCTGACTTGTTGTGACTTAACATGTAACAACGTCGACGTTTGCCATGCAGGTGTTCGGTTTCCTTTTGGGCATCGACCTTAAGGGAATGAGTGCTGGGGCCGGCGGCGACGAGAAGGACGGCCAAGACCAGATGAGGGATATCCCAACCCCTCCGCAAGCCACACCCCAAGCGCAGGCCGAAGCAAAGCCAGCAGAAAAAGAGCAAGAGGAGGAGAATGAGGTGAACTTCCCTCGTTTCGTCATTCGACTTTTCAGTCACTCATGGTTTGTTGTATGCTGAATGCGTGCCGCAAGCATTTGTGCCAGCGTTGCTCCTACTCTCCAAGGTGCACTCAATTTCGTCGTACTGATGTCGGGATTTTCATGCATGTTCAGGAGAAGGCCGACCCAGACGAGAGCGAGGAGGAGGCAGCGGCTAGGAAAAAAAGGAAGGCTGATCAAGCTGCAGCCCTCGTCGCCAAGAAAAAGGGAAACGAGCTGTACTCAGCGAAGGTGATTGACCTGTCCCAGCCGGTGGTGTACATCGGACATATCAGACCAATACATTTGACCTGTTCAGCTCAAACGGCTTTATGCGGCAACATGTGTCGCGCTTGTCGCGCCTTGTGTTGTATGGTTCTCACAACGGCCTGTGGGTTACGTATGTCATGTTAAAACAGAACGTGTTGTTGACGACAATCGGGCCTGTGTTCCGTTCATGCCGGCGGTTGCCTCCTCGGTGTTGCATCGGTTCCCCTCGTTGAACAGAACTTTCCAGAGGCTCTCGAAGCGTATGGGCAGGCCATCGAGCTGGACAACACCAACATGTCCTTCCTATCGAACAGAGCTGCTGTGTTCTTCGAACAGAAGGAGTACGAGGCGTGCATCGCCGAGGTCAGTGTCGACACCATCTTCGCCTGACAACGGTCTGACTTGTATGGTTGCGAAATATACTGTGCAGCCGTGTTTTAGTTGCAGGTTCCACTCCCACCAGGACTTGAGGTGCTTCGGTGGAGTTATGCACCCATGATCGACCTCTGTCTCTCCATTGTGTTCGTACGCTCTTGTTACAGTGCAAGAAGGCAGTGGGTGTTGGAAGGGTGAACCGTGCGGGGTTCGCCGACATTGGCAAAGCGTACGCACGTATGGCGAAGGCATCTTCGAGGATGGGAGACAAAAGCCAGGCCATAGCTTATCTCGAGGACGCTCAGGTGACAGAGGATTCTTGAAGTGTACTCTTGACACCTGCCCCCTATTTCGTTTTGTGGGTTTGGTGTTGGTGTGATGAATTTGGAACAAGTTACTATATGCGCAATGTTATCCCACTCAACGTCGCTGCACCAGAGGTTTTAAACGATTGGTGGGGATGAGGAAAACCTCCTTTCGGCTGGTGGATTTGCTGGTGCTGATTTGCCTTCTTCTCGCCTCTTCTGTGTGTGACAGATGGAAATGTACACCAAGGAGAACGAACGTCTCATCAAGACTCTCCAGCTTGAGGCTCGCAAAGAGGCGGCGGTGAGTTGCATGTATAGTCTTATCCTTGATACACTCGCTCGATCGGCTTTTCGGTATGCTTATTATGAGATGGGTACATGAGTTGGAAATCGGCAGATGGGAAATACATAATTTTTTTTTTGCGCGCATTCACGCAGTGCTCATAAAGGGCGTTTTAAACGGTGCCCAAAATTTGGAACTTCCTAATTAGGGCAGTTGGCGAAGCGAGTTCGAAGGCAAACAACTTGGAGAATTCCAACAACTTTGGAAGCGAACGTCGTTGGGCACGCAATCGCTTTCAAGTTGTTGGAACGATGTTTTCGATGACTCGCAAAATTTTGGAAGCCAATTGTATTAAGGAACGAATTGCCACCTTCAAACACGTCTAATCTGAGCCTGTGCATACCCTGTGAGTTCTGATATAGCTAGCGCTCCAAGGTAGTTGCATGGGTGATGGAAGTGTTTTTCTAACCGTTGAAGGCCTGCATCTTCCCTCGGTCGTAAGGCCAAATACGTTGATCCTGAGAAAGCGTTGGAGGCAAAGGAGCGGGGCAACGAGCAGTTCCGGGCGGGCCAATGGGCTCTAGCCATCAGCGAGTACGAGGAGGTGAGTGGCTGCTGTGCATTTGAGCAGCTTGAACAGAACAAAATTTAGGTTCAAAGGACGCATTGGAGTTGGAGAGCATGTGACGGGTTGATATATACTTGGAAGTATACACGAAGTGTATTTCAGTGGCGTTGACAATCCCGAGGGCAATCCTGACACGGAATTTGAACGTTTTCAGTGGGCCCGGCTAAGAGTTTTGTGCAGGGCACATCTTTGTGAGCGTTTTTCGAACAACGAGAATTTCTCAAAAGCCTCATTGTCTGGTTGGTCCCGAGAGGCGAACGTGTCGCGCAATTTTTAACACTACTCCTCCATACCCTCACCGCGCACTCCAGGCGGTCAAGCGTGACCCCACCAACGCAGCCTACCGCAACAACCTGGCGGCTGCGCTGACCAAGATTGGCGATTTCAACGCGGCGAAGGCTGCATGCGAAAAGGTGCGCTTGGGGTTCGACGTAGCAAGAACCAGCGCCTTCAACATGTCCTACTCCATATTTGCATCTATCTGTTTTGTTTTGCTTGTTGTCTTAAGCCCGCCCACGCACCGGTGTGTCACAGGCCTTGGAGCTTGACTCGAAGTACGTGAAGGCATGGGCTAAGAAGGGGGACATCGAGTTCTTCATGAAAGAGTACCACAAGGCATTGGACAGCTACAAGATGGTGGGTGTAGTCGTTGCGTTCCATCGTCATGGACCCCGTCCGAAATCGATTCGGAAATTGTTGCAAGAAACCAATCCATCGCTTTCTCTTCTTGCGTTGCGCCCGTCACCAACTTTGGAGCGAAAGAACATTCAATTTCATGCTAGACCCATTCTCTGTTTTCGTGGCTACAGGGCTTGACGGTGGAGCCAAACAACTCACTGTGCGTGGATGGAGTACGGAAGACGACCGTCAAAATCAATGAGGTGTGCATCGAGCACGGATGTGTGCTTCGTGGCATCCTCTTATTTTGAAGTGCGCTGTGAATGCATGCGCAGGTCATGGGCGGTATTTTCGGGAGCTGTTGGCGGCCGGGCCTTGAACCTTTCTCTGTATCCTATGTTGTGTGTCAATCTTGTTGACATCTTTTTTACATCGTTAATTTGTTTATTGCGCCCTGCAGGGCTCAGGAAAAGCGGATTCCGAGAGAGCAGCGCACGCCATGGCTGACCCGGAGATCCAGATGATTCTCACGGATCCGGTGGTTCGGCAAGTCCTCAACGACTTCAAGGACAATCCGAAGGAGGCGCGAAAGGTATTGGACTACGATACTCCTTTGCTGCGAGATGGGGTCGTCAAAATTGCATTGGCTTCTAGTGACCCAAACTCCTCGCGCTTTTAGTTTTGTTTTTAACCCATGAAAGCATTGAGCATTTCCGTCGTTTTTCGTACGAAAAGGCATACCTCAGGCACATGAAAATTTTGAACCTGTTGCTGCAACACGTCGTCCTCTGTGAGATGGAACGGAGGCTAACTCGGATGTTGCACTTCGGATGTCACGCTTGCCTCACTCTCGAAGTTATATAATCGGGGACTCTGCACACCCTTGTGGTTCAATTTGTTACGAAGCCTCCCTCATTCTCACGTCCACGCCTCTTTGTGTCGCCCCCACCATTGCCAATGCACCCTAAGGCTCTCGGAAACGCCGACATGCGGGCGAAGATCGACAAGCTCGTGGCAGCAGGCGTTGTCCAAGTTGCTTGAGGAAGCGTCCCGTTGCCTGACATCTTGTCCGATCTTGTCCGATATTATTTCAAAGCACCGCTTGGTGCAGGTTAGCGACTATTTGGACTGCCTGTTTATCTACACCGTTCTTTCTGCTCTTTCGCGGGGGCCACCTGGATGGTGCTCTTGCGAACTTGAGCTAGTGTCCATTAGAGGGTCGTAAACGGCACCTGGGATTGTTGTTTCTCTGAACACGACGGTATATGCCGTGGCACCCATCCCTGGAAGCAGCACTCTTGAAATTTCGCCCTAGTCAGTCTACAACTCGAGCAGAGGTATGCAGCGATTTTGGTTCATGATCGGTTCAGTGCTTCATGATCGGTTCAGATATGGTCTTTCATCGGTGATTTCTGCGAGGCTTGTCGTCGTTACAGTAGTCCATCATACGTATGAGTGACGATGAGGCATTTTGTTGTGTTTGTGGATTTGAGCGAACCAGTTGATTCTGGAAAGACGAGAGAAGCGTACGCAACGTCACAGAAGGACAAACAACCGTTCGAGACAAACATTTGCTGGCAAGAAGTCGGATGACCTGTGAGCTGGGCGGGCGTTCGTTCTCGGACCGCATGAAACGGTGCAGGGAACGAACGACACGGTGAAAGCCGACTCGAGAAGCCGGTTGCTGGGTGCATGATGAGCCACCAGAAAAACGCGACGGTCGGGGTCAGGCCCGTCAGCGTGGGACATCAAGGCTATTTCCTGATTCAAATCTTGTGCAGTAGCTCACTCAAGAGCATCTTGTGCGAATTTAAGATCCAGTAGCTTGCCCCGCGGCTTACGATGAACAGGAATTATTTGGTTGCAACAAAAAACGGATTTAAGAGTGCTCTTGGTTTGGTCCCGACCCAATCCGAATACAAAAGTAGGATTGGTTTCTGCGCCGGACACAAGAGAAGCAATTTTGTCCGCGGTTTTTTTACCTTCAAATTCTCTCAGCTCGCGAAAACTTGTACGCTCACGAGATCGCGGCGGTGCCTCGCCCGACCATGTACGTACTCGGCGAAAAGTCATTCCTTTTCTATGTAAGAAACTCGGGGCATGCTTCTCAGAAATTTCGCGTTTGTATAACTAGAACTAATGCACATATGCGCAATCACGTCTGTCTGCATACAGCAGTACACGTTTAGTTTGTTTGTTCGCTCCCGGGTCGGGCGCTATTCATTGTTCCTGTTTTCTCCTACTGTCATCCCTTGACAATGCTTATCTGGACGTCAATTGCTCCACCGTTTTATCCGCCGCGAACTCCCATCGATGCAATGCACCTGAGGATCTGAGATATTCATGCGAACGCTTTGTCCCAAGTTCTCCGTATCATGTTGGAACTGGACATCTGGACATTTACTATATACAGTACATGTAGAGCGAGGGCAAAGGGCCGCAAGCGAGGGGCCAGAGAGACCACGCAGACAGGGCAGTTCGCTGTGACGGCGGAGGAGTCTGGGGTATTCCGTTATCTTGCTCGCGTACCCCCTCGTTTGAAAAATTCAAGTGTCCCTCAGCAGGTGCACAGCGAGCGCGAAACTCTAACTCTTCACCTGCCTACACTAGTCCACCAACCTCGCCTCTCTCTTTCTTTCTTTCCCTCTCTTTCCTTACCACGACTCCTCAACTGCCTGAAGATCTGCAGAGGGGTATCTTTGTGAAGTTCTGATGGAACCGCCCACCGCAGAGGAAGTGCGTTCCGCAGCTTCAGTGTTCGCAAACGCAGAACCTACCATGGACAAGCTGGAAGCACTTGTGAAGGACGACGGTGTGCATGTCCCGATGGTCGTTATGGTGAGTCTGACAGCCGCTGTCACGCTCTCTTTGAACGCTTCCTGAGTCGTGGTCTGGTTTGGGATGGTTTTAAAAGCGTGAGCGCGAGAACGAAAATGAAAACGATGTGACTGCTGTGTTGCGCTGCTTCGTCCGTCTCTATTTCCTTGTCTTCCCGGGGAGAGGTAACCGTTTGATGTTTTTGGCGAAGCAGATCGCATACGCCCAGGCCTCGACAGCGGGCAGACTCGCACTGCGCACCTGAGTGTCTGTTTGTTCGGGCGCTTCCTTTCTACTTGCACGAGGGCAGTCGTAGTTACCGGTAGTATTACAGACCCGTGCGCGTGCCGGAGGTAAAGGGTTACATCTCGCGTGTTTGCCGTTAACCCCGTTGTATCTTTTTTTTTTTTTTCCCTGCACCTTGTAGACTGTAGATAGATGAACTGCTGCCGACGAAAGGTGGTAGCACTCGCGCTCGTGACACGTAGTCAGACCAAAGAGTTGTGGTTCCGCGGCGGCGAACACGTGTGTGTACGAACAACTGCTACACAGGTTAGCCAAGTACATGCCCAAATATTTGTGACCATAGTTTCAAATCCAAGGCAACCTTGACACAAGGCTGTGGAGGTTTTGGACTTGAGGCACGAATCAAGCGGGCATTACGTAACTCAGCGTCAACTCGTTCAACCTGCAAAATCCTGTCAATCCTCCAAGTAGTTCGGTATTATTGTATATAGGGAGTGCTTGACTCGAAACGGCGAGTTCGTTCGTTCTAAAACCGAAGGGTTTGTTCCATATTTAACTCGCCAGTGTCCTCGTCCAGCTTATTTTTATGCGTGGAGCTCAGCGTTTGTGGCATGTTGCATGCTTCAACGCGCCGCCTTCTATTACTAGGAAACATCTTGTGTTACTATGTGCACGCATAATAACCGCGAACTGGCCGTCAGTAGAGGCAAGGAGCTCACGTGATTGTGATAGAGACAAATGCCTAAGGACATGTGTGATAGAGACATTCTTGACTCAAGCTTGCTCCGAATACGTTGAACCGTGTGCTGTTGCTTTGCAGATGTCAATCGTTGCCTTCCTTGCTATCATCGGACTTTCTTGGTTAATGGACGGGAAGAAGACGCCCTCACCAGTTGGTGAGGTTTAGCCTTAAACCAGCACGGCATACGTTCATGCATCAAATGACTTGATTGTTGCGATGGATGCATGGGCCTTTTGGTTTGAGGATGTTGAGCGTTTGCCGGCAGAGGAGCCCACTTGGCGGTCCCTATAGGGCGGTGACTAGTTACTGCTGTACCTTGAGCACAGCTTGCGCTTGAAACAGTCACCATGGCGGCGCCTTCCTTGACACCACCATTCGGATATATCCAAATGCGCCCTTCCTTCGTGTATAGGCACACACTCACCTCGTGCAAACTGGAGCATACGGGTATCGTATTCCTGATGCATCCTTTAGAATTCTGATTTGCGTAATTCGAAATTTCAACCAGCTATCCATCACAAAGCACTCCAAATCTCTGTGGTTGGATTCAATGGGTGCTCCAACGGTGCTCCGTGGACCTTTCCTTACCGCAGGACTGCAGTACGTTACGAAAGCACTTTTTTGACAGTGTATCTCGAGTCATACCTACCAGAAGAGAGAGTTGTCGTAGCCCCAACTCTGCACCTCCTCCCTTCCTGTGCCCTTGTAACTTTATAACACTATTACAGATCCCAGCACCCCGAAGAAACAACCGAAGTTGGGGACTGAAGGTAAGATATCTATTGGTGTAATCGAGCGGAAACATTGTTGGGGGAGTCGGTTGCGTTTTGCGTTTTGACTCTGAGGGCAGCTCCCAAGCGAGAACAACAGGAGAGGCAACTACGGGCAGGTACGTTCTTCTGCATCTCGGGGGATATTTGTCGAAAATTAAAATATCGCATGGTGTCCTGCAGAGTGTGCAGCTACAAACCGCCTAACGCTCAAGTACAGTAGTGTCCTTGCGGCACTAGTAGGAATCCAATGCATTCCGGCAGCATGTTCGCATGGTTGTTCGGGTTGGTTCTGTTTTGTGTATATTTCCTGGTCGTCGTTATTTCTACCACAATTTCAAAGTTTCCCTTGACTTGAAAATCGAGCACCACCTCCTCGGAACTTCGCCGAAAAACATGCGAGTTGCGCTGTCGCAGGTCTAGGGGCGCGCAACACAAAAATGGCATTTGTAGACTCACACAGCATCAAAGCGAAACTCTTGCACGTGCGTGAAATTGAGTTCCGACACCTTGTTTTGAACCTGCCATTTAACAAGAACGCATCTGAGAAAACGCGTAGTGTGGGTGCCCAATTGAAGGAGAGTGCTTCACACCCAGGGAACTCTTCGCCCCTGTTGTCATTTTGTTGCTGTTTTCGCCGCCTACCTTGAACAATGACACACTACGGCACCACCCCTAGCTTTGACGCATTGCATCTTCTGAAACCTCACTCGACTCGTTTGTCGTTTTTCAGTGACACCCGCTGGCCGAAGATCAACAAGGAAGACTCACAAGCCCGACATCCTGGATCCATCTCAGCCTGTTAGGTGACATTCAATCATCTTTTAGCCGTGAGCAAATCCATCTGCTCCTGGATGCATGCCTTTTTCCTCTCTGGTGAAAAAGCCTCCCATTCTTCAGACCGCACGGCGCTTCTCGCATTTTCCACGGCCTGGTCGTACACATCATCCTCATCTGACTCGGAATCTTCGGGTGGGGGGGATCGTGGCGATCCGCCCTGCACTGCACGGTTGTCCACCAAGCCGCCACTTCTCGATGGCACATCCGGAGGGGGGTGGGTTGGAGACATCGGCTGGAACTTGGGAGGGGGGCCCTCCCAACCACTTGGAGGTGCTAGTGGAGAGGCGGGTGTATGTTGGAATGGTGGCGAAGAAGGAGGACTTGAAGGGGCAGCGGTCCCAACTGTATCATGTTTCAGACGAGAGAGAGCGAGAGATCGATTAAGTACGTGTCTTGTGTGCCTCATTGCGATGAACGTAAGTTGCACACGCGCCAGTTGTCTACGTAGGGCTAGAATACATAACGCTATGTAAATGTGTAGCGCTGGATCCAGAGCGAGATAATCCGCTCTATTTTACTCTATTTTTATTGCCTGCTGTATGGTTACACTAAAGAAGGCTGACGTCGCCGTCACACCCACGTGGCAAACGGCGCGGCATGACTCACCTGACTGCATGTCCGTTGATGTCTTGCGAAATACAAGCGCCATATAAATTCCTATTCCATAGGCAGACAATTGGCAAACGCGACCAACGAGGAAGTACGTTAGATATCCATGTGTCGGTGAGGGTGCAACCTTTATAACAATACGTTCCAATTCAGCTGCGGTTTTTGCGTTAAACTTTGGCGGTAAAGGCAAAACCATCAAGCGCCTCATCTATGCACACCAAGTTACCACTTTTGAATTTGGTAATCACCTGCTATGCGCCACTCCGTATTGTTCATGGTGCCCCGAGGATTGAACACGTGCATGTTGCGGAGATTAAGGCGAGCTGGGTATACTTGCGACCTGCGAAAAAGATTGGTAGGGACGCGACAGCGTACGTTTCGGCACATCTTTAGCTGGGTGATGTTCCTGTTGCCCTGTAGGCACACGTCACCGAGGGAGGAGGGCCGACACGCGGTACACCCAAACCTAGCATAGCAATGTCCTCGATCTTCCGCCACCCCGCCGGCATCTATTGACACACCCGAGGGTAACCCGCACGAGACCCACACGCGACTTACTCGTGAGCGAAGAATTCGTGGAAATTCTGTGCCGTCTCCATCTCGAGTCCGTAGTCAGCGGCTGCATCCTAGTGGCGACCACACAACACATCGAAAATCAATGTTAGAATGTGGGTTGCTAAGCACTTGAACACGGGAGGGAACGCAAGAAAGAAAAACAACCAAACGTCGTTCGTAGTTGGGCATGTTGGCGGGCGACGACTTGAGGTAAGTGCAAACAAGTCATCTCGAGGGGCATTACCAAAAGCGAGTACAATATGTTGAATTGCCGAAAATTGGACGGGGTTCTTGGAAGACCGTGGAAGACCGTGTCTACGGAAACAGATTTAGCACCCCCCGCAAATACATCAAAGTGTTGAGCTGCTTCGCTGAGATGATGCGGGCACATCGTTTCTGAATGCAAGCAGTGTTTGCGCCGTCTGCGTAGCTGTGGATAGATGCTGAGCATGAAGTGGATTGATTGCTCCATGAAAACCAACCATTGTGGGTTTGTTTTCCTAGCACATGTCGGGTTCCTCTAGGGTTCTTGGTTGTAGAGCACTTGAAAAAATCGATCGCACATCAGCAGTGCGTTCGCCCGCACTTTCGCGGTATGTTGGGAGTGGCGTTCTGGGTGTCGTGCGGGTATCCCGAACAACACCTGTTAACCTTTCGCCCTATCGTGTGGGGTAGTCTAACCAACAGACCAAACTTACGCTCCATATTCTTCGGGCCAAAACATGTTTTGCTATCGGACAACGGGGTTCCTAGATCATGCAATCTCCCCGTAACGCCTCGTGTTCTCTCTCTATCAGAATATTAATGTTGCACCTGTTCCCGCTCAACTCGCCAGGCGGTTGACTCACAACGATCGATCGTTGCTGTGTTTTATCGAGTAGACCAAGTATACCGGATGTATGGGAGCTTCCCATTTTGCCTCGTACGAAAAGTTACTACTGTACCTCACAACCCATACGGAAGAAAAGTTACGCAGTTGACGATATCGTCCGTGAACACCCGTTGCGATAGCCAACCCACCTTCAGTGCGTCTAACGGGAGCATCCATTCCGGCACCTCGTCCACAGCGTTCTTGTTGAGTTCAGTTTCTCTCAATGTGAACGTGTACTCCAGTCCGAAAGGACCGGTAGCATCAACGTCTTCAGAGGAATGGCGCAGATATGACTCGAATGGGTCCTTGAACTGGCAGACGTGTGGGTAGGGACAAGCAAACAGGCGGCAGAAGGAAGCCTCATGTATCTGCCCTGTGGGTAACCAGAATAAAACAAGGGCGGGGCGCTCGAACTCCAAACAGTTGCGCGGCTGTTAAGTTGAAAATATACAACCAACGCGAACGCAGGATCGCTTCGCAGCTTGATTTTCGAGAAAACTCTCACCACGATGCTGAGCAAGTTTTGTTGTCTTTCATCATCGATTTCCACCTTGCGGGTTGTCCGTCCGAGCGAAGAGTCCTGCGCCACCAAAAGGATTGCGAAAGTTTATCAGCGGAGTCTTAGTGTTGACTGTTGACCAAAGAAAAACGCAACTACAACCATGCACAAAAGCGTTGATCTCCAACTGTTGTAGGGCATGGGTGTCGTGAGTAACCGCACGCTCTAGGTTGAGCTCCAATGAACAAACAGACGCAACCTACGATGTGTAAATATCGCATAGAAAGAACGGAAATGCGAGGAACCATTTCACTCACCCAGGATTGCTCCGCGTGGCCCATAAGCAGCTGCATCAATACGCGCGAGTCCATGGTAGTTGCGATAAAAATCCCCCCAACCCGAAGGTGTCTCGAGACTTCGTGCAGGAACCGTCGCATTCGCCCTTCCGTCTGGCCCATGTAGTGCAAAGCAAACTGCATTGACGCCACGTCAAACAAGTCACCTGCAATAGGTGGATCGATGCAGAATGCCAGGCATCGCAAGATTTCCGCACAGCGCGCCCACCTGCGTCATGACTACATCTCATTGGGACGATGTAGTGACTCCACGAGCGCTTGTCACTACTTACGTACGTTGCGCCCCACAACAGCGGACCGACAAATACCTTCATTCAGCGGAACGCGAAGGCCCCACTCGCCAGGTTGCCCCTCTGTTTTTTCCCACACTCTTACCCTGTCGCGCTGAGCAAGTATAAAGAGAGCATCCAGCGCAGTAGCAAAACACAACCCGATCGTCAAAGGATCTTCATTCCCGAACACGATTTGTCAGGTTGACTGTTTAATGTTTCTGTATGCGCGAACCGACAAGGCGATCGAGAAGACTCGCAGAAAGATAGTGACGCGCTTCCCGACCAATTTCCTCGACACAACAGGATTAGGTTTGACGAGTGTAGTCCATTAGTGCGCTAGCAAGCGACGAGCCGCAGGGCCCAGCTGGAGGCACCTCACCGGAACCACCTTTCCATGCAAGTTGGCTTCAATCAAGTAGGACGTTGGATTGGACCATGTTTGAAGGACAGACTGAAGAGGTTTCGCTTTCATGTGAGGGTTCACTTTGGATTGGGTGAATGAGGAATGCTGCGCACACCAAAACTTCAAACTCCATCCGTCTGATGCTCCAAGCTCAGAATGGTGCCGCCACATTGGGTGTGCCGTCATTTCTGGTAGTAAGGACTCTTCGGGCGAGTCGTAAGTAAAATTTCTTGGACTGCGGACGGGTGTGCTTCTGGTTTTAAATTGCGTTGTGCACTACACATCTGGCAGCCTTCACAGCACCAACCCTTGGTCAATGGACAAGTTGGTGACAAGACGAGCGCCGGCGGGTAACCAAAGCACGATCTATACGCAAAATAAGGGCCGTTGTGAGCTGCGTACCTTGATTGTCGCCGACGGGATCGAGTATGCCTCTTGCATCAGGCTTGTTAATCGTACTCACAGTCTCCCTCTTCTCCGGGGTGTGTGTGTAGGCTCAATGGGATGGGTTTCCATCGGGAACGAGGCGGCCAAATGGATTGTATGCAAAGTCCGGATGGACTAAAAGCTCCTCGTTGGAATTTTACAATTCGAAGGAAGTTACGTTGCTGATCCAGCGCCCTACCCTACGAAACGATGTACGTCTGTAGCAATGCCGACCTGCACATCATTTCTGCCGAGGTCCGCCTCAAAAAGCTTCACTGGAACCTTGCTCCAGTTGCCCCTGCCACCTCTATCCGCCGACTCTGCCAAAAAACGGAGGCAACGTGTTACACGTACATCAGATGAGTGCGGCTGAAACAAGGATGCAAATCGTGTGCATCTAAAAATTGAGCGCTGGGATTGATGCTATTAACGAAGACTCACTCGCCATACGCTCGACCAGGTGCTGTAACGACCCGAAGGCGATGTCCGATCCAACGTACTTCTCCACTCCGTCAGGGTGGGTAGCCCATTTGAACAAGTCTCCGCCTTTTCCGCACGCCAAGTCTAGCACGCGCAGACCAGCATGGGAGGCGTCTTTGCTGGCCTTGGCGATTAGCTGCAGAGGTTAAAGGTGGTGTACCATGGGGTCGCACAACAATCAATATGGGAGATGTTCCAGCGTGACACGTGTTACTGGTTAAAATCGAACTGAATCAAATCGAACTCTGAGAAACAGATATGGGCCTGACCCAGCATATGTCTCTGAGATCTCTGCCGGGACTCTAGTTGATGGAGTTTCTACTCTGCGTACCGTGGCTTTGACCCAGTTGTTGAATCTCTTGAGGTGGTAGATAAAACTCGAAGCTTGCTGACCCTCAGTCCGTAGCTCCTCGCTGTACTTTGCTGCTGCTTCTGCCTGACAAAAATACGGATCATGAAGGAGAGCTCCGGATGCTGGGCGATCATGATATGCACCTCTTTGCCACACGAGAGGAATGATGAAGCACTGTGCTCAGAGGTCGTCTTTCACAGCTGTGTAGTCCAGAAAGAGTGTTCTGAAAGAATGCACTGAAGCAAGTATGGCTGGTTGGTCGGCAACCGCCCCGAAAACCAGCACACACTGGTCGGATAGAGCTGCACTTGCCGAGAAGTTACTGCTAGCGCGAGCGCGGTCGGTCTTGGTCTTGAGACATTGAAACAAGCCCAACGCGAGAGCTGCGTATATAGTGGATTGCAGGTGAAAATACCTGCGCGGATAGAGGCCCGCGTTCTCGGTGCCCCATATGTTGTCCTCCTTGCCCCAACCCGTTATCCACACGAACAGGTGGAACGTCATAGTATTGCTCTCGGAAGCCGCCATTCATGCCAAGCCTGTCGACGGAGTGCTCCGCATCATCGAGTGACGGTAATTGTTGCGATTCTTCCTTTGATGGTGCTGGCATATCTCGATATGGGTCCAGCTCGTCCATGGTGTAAATCAGGGCTGCTCACCAAGATAAAAAGTGCATTCGCAAGAACATCAGATTTGCTCACTTCGCCGTCGTGGCACGAACGCCAACATCTGCACAAGAACTGGTTGCTGTTGCCCAGACATTAGTGTCGTAATGTGGGTCATTCTCGTGCATCAATATGGGAAACAAAACAAGTAATATCTCATGCGTGACACCGATGGAAAATGCCTACGAACGACACCTCTCGCCACCTTCCGCATCAACCACAAAGCGGCGCTACACGCGATGCAAACACCCACGCCATGCACCTGGATCGTAGTCTGGTCCGTCGAGCCTCTCTCCAAACTCCCGACTCGTCAGTGGTTTCCGTGAGGCCCAAGGCCCGCGCTCGATAGGAGCCAACATCGGCATCCTAGCAGGTTGCCGCGAGCGGATCTGCTGGCGTGCAGCTGGGGGACGAAGGCGGAGGTGAAGCGCAGGGGCATGTGGCAGATAGATGCAATGAGTCCGGACGTGAAGTCATACCCCTCGCCAAGAAGCGATTCCCAGACAACCAGCACGGAGGATGGGCTACAATATTTAACATCATTTCCCGACGAAGATGCGCTATATTTTGGTTGTGTGGCACGTCTGAAAATCTCTCACCGTCCATATGCTCCTGGCGGTGGAAGTGGCAGTACAGCTTCGACTCCGTTGCATGGGGAAGCAGATAACCCACCCATCCGCGCTTGTTCAGTACCACCACGGCAGCCTGCATTTTGGGATTTATGCAAGAGGAAAACCAGAGCCGACACTGATTTTGTCAGAGATCGGAGCTATTGTCAGCAGTACCTCGTACTTGACGGATGGAAGACGACCTATGTAGTTTGTGGATTTGACTGATTTGAAAAACAACACAAGAGCACCAGAAAACAACACAAACAAGACCAGTCGGAAGGCTTCGAGAAATCAGAAATCATTGATTCTCGAACAGGGCGGCAGTAGAGGCTGCTCTAAACATACATATCATGCAGTCTACCTCCACACGCCTCCTTTGAAATTCAAGTCAAAAGAGCCAGAACGGCAGGCGCTCAAATAACGTCGGTTTTGCCTATCGTACGCAATCTACTGACATCACTAGAGGACACACTATAACAGCGGGGGGGGTGTTGGCGCGCTCAAATCTGTTTCTTGGGTGGCGATATGGAGGGTCGTATGATAGTAGCGGTCTACAATATCCGCAAATTTCACCGACACCCAGTGTCTCGCACTGATTGTGCTCGCCGCCACTAACCCCAATCTCCTTAACTGCGGGTTTACTGCAGTAGCTTATGCCACTTGACTCATTTCAAACTCGAGCTTCCTGGCCTTCTGGTGACATTTGACTGTTTAGGTGTCCTCGTGATCTCATCGGGATAGAGCCAAATATCCGAACGGATTGCACACCACGGGTCCTCTTTTTTTTGTGAGCCCCACGCACCAGAAAATACGACGTGTCCTGCCGCGCCCCTCGGAATTTCAGAAGCTGAACAAGCTGCGCACACACCCGCGTACCAGAAAATACCCGTCAACATACATGCCATATATGCACACGCACACACAACGGCTGCAAATACAGTTGGCGCTCCAGTTGAGAGCGGGGAGAGCGGGCACAGCAGTGGTGAAGATCCTTCCTGATGAAATCACCATCGGGGGCTGAAATGCCCTCCCATGATTATCTGGAAGAAAGATCCATGTGGTTCATTTTGCGAAAGTCCGGGATTATTTTTGTGACTCAGACCCATGTTTATGGTTTCCAAATCTTTATCTTCCTTTCTTTGGACAAATGCTGAATTTTTCGACCTTTTGGGCAGTCTGCCTCCCGAACGAATGCGAATCAGCTGTTCGACCTTTGAGAATAGTCACAGCTTGCCTGAGATGTATACAGGCCGCCTATTTGTTTCGCCCACTTTTGATTTTTTTCCAGCAGAGCAAGATGTGCAAGATTCGGCCGAAAGACCACCTCGGAGCAAATCTTGGGCCAAGATCTGTCCAAAAGCTGGTGTTGGAAAAATCTTGCGTGAAAATTGCGCATCTTGCAACAATCAAACGTGGGCCCTGGCGAAACATATAGGCGATCTGTAGATATCTCAGCCAAAGCTGTGACTATTCCCAAAGGTCGAACAGCTGATTCGCATTCGTTCGGGAGGCAGACTGCCCAAAAGGTCGAAAAAGTCAACATTTGTCCAAAGAAAGGAAGATAAAGATTTGGAAACCATAAACATGGGCCTCAAACTCGATCTTCAGGAATTCCTGGAGATATGGATCCCTATCACCAGGAAGCTCGAGCTTGAAATGGGTGAACTAGCTACAGCTGACGACCCGCCTTTCAGGGGTTTACGGTCCGTGGCGATGAACACGGTTGTGAGAAATGTTGGATTGCGACGCAGATTACGGAGTGTTTTCAGAGACTGCTGCGACTTCGATATTTCAGCTCCTGTAGCAAAACTGAACATGCTAAATATAAATAGCACACACGACGCCTTCTTCATGCTGATATTAATAGAAGCACAAGATATAAACTGTGGGAAGGTTGCATTGTTTTTGTTATGAGCCGCGGAGCGCGAAGCGCGACCGTCCTTCCCTCCCAAGAGGGAAAAACAGGCTCTATCTACCAGGGGCCCAAGTTTCAATAAGCGACCTCCTGCATTTGCCCGTCTTTTCGACCATCACGACGTCTATAGAGCACCGATTGACGATCTGCTGGCTTGTGAGGAAGAAGAAAAATAGGGCACTCTTCACCACACCGGTTTGGTCGCGCTCCGATAGCAGATGGCCGTGCTTCACCGGCATTTGTACCCAAAAACCATAGGAGATACTCACTCCGAACCCCTGGAGTTGCCAAGGTATTGGAGGAACAAAAACTCGGAGATCTCCCACCCACCCACTGCTTGGTTCACACCACGGGAGAAACAGCGGAAGCACTCAGCGAAACACGCAAAACCGCCGGGGTTCGCAAGACAGCACTGGCGGGGGAAAGGAGCCACATACAGAGCTAGTGGCGGATGCCATTGTCATTGCCGTTGCTTAGGTGTGTGGAGAGGGATCATTGACGTTTGCGCAATAAACAAATTTTGCTCTTTTGATGCTGGTCAATTTTACAAAAACTATCAAATCTTTCCACCGTGAGCAGGTAGAAATCAACATTGCGGACGAACGCGGACACGCACATTGGAACTTTAAATACCCCGATGGTCGACATGAGCCAAATTTTGTTCTGCGCAAACAAGTCATCTAGTAAACCCAACCTTGGCCTGGGGAAAAAACGTCTTTCTCCAAACTGATCACAGCAGACGCGGCGGGCTTTTGTCGGGCTGTCCCAGACTCTCGGGCTCGCAATTTCTGAGCGTCCTAGATCCTCCTGGTCTGTATCAATCACAACACAAGACGAAGCATGAACACAGCTCGTGGCGGTACCTTTGTTATCGCTGTTGCTTCGGTGTGCGGGGAGGGGTCACCTTGAAACAAAATGTTGTGCCGGTACCACCGGAAAAAAATGCTCAAGAAGAGCCTCCTTTTTTTGGCGGGGTGCTTTTTCTCGCATGCATGCACTGCCGATTCTCGCCGCCCCCAACTTTCGTGGGTCCTATGGACCCGTGGCCTCTGTCAGCCGCCACACAAGACATGACACACACACAGCTCGCGTTGAAAGCTGTGCACTTGCTGTTTAGTGCGTCACTCTGTGTAGAGAAACCACCGAAACACCAAATCGGTGTGGAATGTATTCGTCAAGTATGACGTGTACAGCAGTAGTGGTACACACAGGTCTACCGTCGGGGACATAAGATACCACACCCCTTGCATCGATTTTTCTTGAAGCCCGAGTTTCCACAATAAAGAGGATGCGTAAACACAGCGAGACGTTGTGGGAAAGCTCTCGACGAGACGGTTCCCACACCACCGTTTTCGGCACCGCCACTCTTTGTGGTGTGTGGAGCACCCGAGCTTTGACAATTGGTCCAGGGTGTGGTATCTTGTGTCACCTACGGTACGTACTGCTGTATGCGCACATGCGCACGAATCCCAACGGCCGTTCGTTGCAGATGAGGAAGGAGGACCCTTTTTTTATCGTGTTGTTGTTGATGACTCCGATTCAAAACTCAAACTGGCTGCCACTCGCCACCGCAAAAAGCATCGCAAACAGACTACTGCAAGGTTTTGAGTCGGTTACCCCGCGGTTCATTACCCCACACTATCTAGTATATAGAGCCAGCGTCAGAAGGAGCTTGTCTCCTATCTACCGTGCTAATATTCATAGCAGGAGAGCCGGTTGTCTCTCCCATCTACATACCGTGTACGTGCCAGTAGAGCAGAGAACAGGGCAGTCGGCCCGTACGAAAGTGTCTCTCAATTCGCGTTGGGTATTTTTGTGCGAGGTACATACGGTTGTACCGCAGTACCGCTATTTGCACTACACTCGCACACGCGAAGAATATGCGAAAGAAAACAAGATATAGTCTACAGCTGTAAACGTGATCAGACACCTGCTCGTTGTGCGACGCCCACCAGATCCACAACCATATCCCGTTATCACAAGTATGCATGCACCAGCAGTACGCTCAGCGATTGGAGGGCCGGAGATGTTTTTCAAATACCCAGCGCACCTGTCTAGTGCTCCGTAGCCGGTTTAAGAACGGCGCTATCAGGCCAGAAGAATCCGCCTTGGAAGAGAGCGTCAGCCTGAACTTGGGGTAGTGCCTGATTGTCTTGCTAGGGGTGAAGCGACGTGTCTGGACTTCGAGTTTGCCGCTGACACCGTGTTCTACTTCATCGGAATCGTTCCAGCTGTGCACATCGCAGATATGAACCTGCTGCTTTCCATCTTCTTGTACCAGAAGCCTATGCTTCGCGACTACCCTCGGCTCGGCGTTCATGGCGCTTCCCCCCAACGTGTTAGCGCACACAGTAGTGGTGCGGCCTTTCTTCGATCGCGATCTCCGGAGACGAGAAAGCGGGGGGCACAGCGAATTCTGCCGGGGTGTACACGATCTTCAGGATCTACTATGTGCCCACACAGGTATGGATATCTGTGAGGATCTACACACGAACAAGCGGATGTGAGGTCAGACAGCCAGCCGATCTTGTGTGCCGCTACTGTTGACACGGAGGAGTAATGGACATGCCCGATGGTCAATACACGTCGGCGGTGTATACTGCAATTAAGGATGCTCGCTATCCTGAAGCTATTCGCGTGCTGACATCGGAGCTAGGGGTAGGTGGAGATTGTTCCTCTCAAGCGAAAATACATATCGTACACTGCCGTCGTACCTTGTCGCCCACGGCTATTTGCTCAGACCTTCCACTGAGAGCGACCTTCCCTTTCTGCTTGAGAAGCGTCCGGATCTGAAGGATCACAGTTATCTGAAGGATCACAGTTATGGGTTGAATGCAGTTCATAACTTCTAGTGACGACTGCGCATTGGTGAATGGTCAGATCTATCTGTCGTTGCGATGAGATCGGAAGGCAGGATCCATGCAGAGAGGCTCAATGAGATCCTAACGTATATCGTAGCGCATACGCATACGTTTACCCGACCCTACGGGTCGTGGCTCCCTCAACCGCGTGTCATCCAATGGGGCTAGTGGTGGGAGCCATTGCTGTTCACCCGTAGTTTTGGAGTCTTGTACCCGCCGGCCGATCAAATAAATGTTTTGTACACTGATACAACACACGCCATGGTTTTTTATGACCTCATGCGTAAGATCGGTCATCGACATGACCCACGGTGAGTAGAGGTTCTGAGCGTGCCAAGCACAAGTTGGTGGTGTCCCCAACTACTCTCATGAATTTTTAAGTTGGAACCGTTCCCTTGCGCGGGGAGGAGCTGGGGGCGCGCTCCATACGTGTTATATTTGATTTAGGGATCCCCCGGTCCCCAGACAGAAACACACAATCTGCATGTACGTGTGCATCATACCTGTAGCAAAAGGTAATCAAGACCGCCATACAAGGTCGCCCCAGCAGTGGTGAAGTTGGTGACCTTGAATCTTCTGATGTTTGGAGTGCAAATCTCGGCTTACTCACGAGACATGCCTTATTTTCTCACACTACATCATTCCCAAACAAGAGTGAGTAGCGTTCCCTACATACTCATGATTCGTGCAGCAACAAATCGATTCTATGGTCGACCACACGCAAAGGAAGGGACGGCTGACTTCGACTTCTTTTCGCGTCAAAACGAAAGGCAAGCATCGCCGAACGAAGGCGGACATCAAAAAACTTCCTGCGCCGCTTGCGTCCTGTGTAACCTCGGCTGGTGCGTCCACGTTGATAAAGAATACAGAAATGGAGTGCAATAATTGCAACAATGGACGTCCAGGAGACACACAGTAAATGTGTTCGAGTTTTTTCGTATTGGTGTCCAGCTGTAGGGGGACGTATTTTTTTTATCGGTCGATTAAAACGGTCGATTCTAGTTAAAGAAACACATGCGGTTGCCCAATCTCATGCCCTCCCTCCCTGTGGAGGGAACCCGCTGACTAGAAAGCATGCTTGTCTGCGTCTTGATGTCCCACCGTTGACTGGCTTCTTTTCATTGGGTAGCTGCTAGGAAGCTAAAAAGAACGGATACAATCTTTTGAGAGGGAATACACCATTTTGGAATATTTACAAATGTGTAAAAACGTTTGCCTCTGTTGAGAGAACACCCGGGTTGCAGATCCCACAGTAGCAAAAAATGAAATGACAAACGGGCTCCTTTGCAACTCCATGGTACCCCACCTGCTCCCCCATGATTTGTTGCCCTGTGATGCGATCTGGCCAACAGCGTTGTCACCGCTGGCGCTCCCCACACAGATGGCTACGCGCTATGAAACCAGCAGGAGACCTCAAGCATGTAATGTTCTACACGCACAGACATTTCGTAGGCCCTAGATTCGCTCTGAACCTGCCAAATGCCGTGCTATGAAAAGTGAAGAGCTGTTGGTTCCAAGCCCGTCTCGCAGCTCTTAGCACCAAACTTCACACTGCTATATCCCTCCGAAGGAGTTGACGAACTCACTCGAGACGTTGCGAGAGTGGATTACTAGTTAGCATTGAGGGGTAGGCGCAATGTTGGAGCGCTACGACAAGGTTCGTTCCGGTGAAGCACGCTACCTCCAAATTTGGGATACCCTGGGAGATCCTCCCAAAATGGACCTTCAAGGCTCTACACGCTTTCAAAAACGATTCCGCCCAAACTTTAGATGGTACCGAGCTGTAGAGACTACTTGCCTTAGGTTGCTTTTGAGGGTTTGCAAAAAATCGCCACAACAGCCGGAGTTGTTAACGAACAACGGCCCGTCTCTACAGTAAAGCGGCCGCTGTGAGGAGGCTCCCCGTAAATCCTACTTTCCCATAATAAAAAAACAATCGTTCTTTGTGTAGACTTGCAACCCAGGTGGAAGGCCTCGATTGACGTCTTCCAACAACCAGGTTTTCTTCCCAACTATGCTCCATTGGTCTGATGGCCCTATTTCCCTCATGTAACGAAGTAAGCACTTTTTTTCCCTCCAGGTAGCTGACGATTATCCGTTTTACCATTGCTCAGAGGGAATTCTTCGTCTGCAGTGATTTCTTCGCTGTTTCGCGATTCTGTTATGTCCACCTTGTCCTTGGACCAGTTTTGGTGAAGCCTTTCTGTATGGTTTACAGGAATTCATGGTCGCCTCCACCACGATTAGTCTATATGACCAAGTAGTGTCGAAGACCGTCAGAGCTGGCCGCCTCAACGCTATCTTAAGTACACGACCTGCGAGCGGGAAACCATCGAAAGTTAGGCTGTTGTTCACACGAGGTCCTTGCATCCCGTTGGAATCCGGGAAAATTGTATTACACACTGCAGCTAGACAATACACCGCAGCGTTCAAGTCCGCGGCATCAGCCCGCTTAACCTCGTCGACATTTCTTGGACATCCCCTGTCTGGCAGGCGATTAATGTCCACGATTTCCCTCTTGCATTTTTTTCTCTTTTTGTCAAGCAGAGGACACCTCTCTGGCCACTGGTCATCTTGCGCTTGGTGCCGACCTTTACCCATGTGAAAGATACACTTGCGTGTGAAAACATGACGAGAACAACCGACAACTCAACGACAACGCTGGTTGACGTGCCGTACAATGGCAGTGTGGCTCGTGAACGTTAAAATGCTATTGAGAACAACCGGAACTACATCCTTGCCGGCGTCGACGTGCCGCACTGGCGTTCATTCTTTTATCCTTGCTCTCTTGCTGTTCTGCTGTGTACGGCACAAGGGTGTCTGACTAATGTTGAGGATATATCGATTTTTTCACGGGCCGAACCCACACTATTGCTAGTGAGTACCGCCTGTGCCGAGCATTTAACCCTAATAGTATTTCGCATAGAGCGGCTTCGGCGCAATGGCCTCTCTCTCTCGCCTGGGTTCATGTCGCAGCCAAATTAACTTCAAGGTTAATTACCATCCACCATTCACCACTCACCTGGCAGGAATCCGCCTTCAATCGCGCGTTTTCTTTCAACAGAATTTTCCTCGCAGTCGGGCGGCACTGTCCCTGTTGAGCTATTGCTACTACCAGATGCAAGACTACAAAGCAGCAACCACCATGTACGAACAGCTCGTGAAGATCTGCCCCAGCGTTGAAGAGTATAAGGTGAGTAATACGGGTTTCAGCTTGCACAAGGGAGACCTGTAAACCCACCGCAGCCGTAACAAACGTTTGTTTGGCATGCACATTGGCGTGTCAACACGACGGTGCATGACGGTCATGTGTTGGCAGGTGTATCTCGCCCAGTCACTGTACAAGGCTGGAATGTATCCAGAGGCAACGCGAGCAGCAGTTCGAGTCGACAGCCCCCAGTATCAGCAGAGGATGGTCGCCCTTCAGGTGTGAGGAAGCGCAATCCCCTCAAATATTTTTGCTTGTCCTCGCGATTAGATAGACGTGTCCTGGATGGAGCATGCCACCTAGCTAGATGCTCAAAATCCCGAACGACCCCCCTGGTTTTGATGATGTATTTGTAGTCGAGGTACTGTCATGAACGCATCTTCGTAGTGTGGCAGCTAAGGGAGTCGGGGTCGGCAACGTAAATAACAATGACCGTTCAATTACCGTAATCAAAGCCGCAAAAAAACCCCACCAACTTGGGTCCACGCTCAGGGCATATTCTACCGCTATCACTGAGCAAGACTGTTGATATGGGGAGGAATTTGTGTGGGACCCATCGCTAGGTTGTTTTTCGGAGGCACGCAGTCTGCCTTTGCGCGATAACCTCAGCCTTGGTTTCTTCGCAGCATCTCACTCGCCTGCGATCGTTGAGCGTTTTGGTACGAAGCACGTGAATGCGTAGGACGGGATCGACAAGGTGCTTTGTGATATTAACACTCCTCACAGTATGACATCAACCTTGCTGGCAATGGTTTCGTCGGATGTTGTGGTTGGTAATCCAGGTTCTATGTTGCTTCTGCTTGTGGCACTCTGCCGCATCCGTATTGTCTCCATTAATGGACGATAGACGAAGCACATCCGAGCCTTCCATTGTTTCTGTCCGTGACTTCCCGCGCGTAGGGTGCCATCAAGTACGAGCAAGACGAGTTGGCAGCTTGCAAGGGTCTCGTCGACCAATGCCTGGGCGATGATCCGGACACCATAATCAGTTATGCGTCGATTTCTTTCAAAGAACAAGGTTCGATCTTTTGGACGGCGGTTCGATCGAACACAGAGGAGGGCGTGAACCCTGCAAAACGTCAACGTTGGAGTCAATTCAAGTTTAGACGGAAGTTCGTTGCTTGATTGACATCACCTGCTGGTATGCGTGTAGAACCTTACAGAGAGGGTCACTCAAAATATCATTCACCGAAACGACTGCGCGCAACACAAGAAATAAAAATCGCCATTGTAGATGCATGGAGCTCCACTCTGCAATCTTTTGGACACATTGCAACATGCAAGGCTGCACTACGTTTACGGCAATTCCCCTTTCTATTTTTGACTTGGCAGACTACGAAGATGCTAGGCAGAAGTACGCAGATGCTATGCATACTCTCGGGTACCAAGCAGATCTTGCGTACAACACGGCGCTGTGCTACTTCAAGGACAAGCAGTATGTCTCTGCTTTAAAACGTGTTGGTGAGTTGAGCTACACCCTCGTGGTTCTGGGCGAACTAAGTATCGACTACATTTCGGGTCGGAAGCAGCGCTCCTTCGTTTCCGATAAGGTAGGTCAGTATAACAACCCTTTCTCAGAGCGCCCCTGTTCTTTACAAGAGCAAGCAAGTACCCAAGAGTTGCGCTGCACGTGATATGAGAAAGACACCTCAATGTTCAAGACTCGGGGATCTGACTGCGATCATGAGCAGCACCTGTGCGTCGATGCTGTGGTACTTGGTAATTCCCGGCCTTGCATACCACTACGATGTACGTACACGGCGTCCATAGCGGAAGCTCATGGTCTCTTGTTTACCTCGTGCCCTTTGGCCAGACGAAATCATCGAGAGAGGCGTACGTGAGCACCCAGAGCTCTCTGTCGGAAGCAATACAGACGGGATTGATGTGCGGTCTGTCGGCAATTCACAGGTTCTACAGGTGAGAACGTGGACTCCTAAACCATTTGCAATTTTCGCACATCTACCAAGACGTGAACAATAATAGATGCGCCGCTGGCGATAACGCAGCTTGTACATGAAGGAGAGGTCAACCATATTTGTTATGAACACCGCCGAAAGTGCGTCAAATTCTTGTGCAAACAAGCGATGTCCGATGCGCACAGGAAAGAAGCTTGTGTGCTTCGAAACAGCCAATCGATTCCTGAATGAAAAAGGAGAGGAAGTTAGCTGTATTTTTTCCATATTGCGAGGTCCACCATCTTCCTTCCGAGGCGTATCAGTTTGGAGCCTGACTCGTTGTCGTGTTTGGCTTCGTATGCAGCGGGCGGCACTTGAGCGGCGAAACTGTTGTAATGCTAACGACCTGTTGCAACTTCAACCCATTTTTGCGGGTAAGCACAAATCGTGTACAACTGAAACGAACGCACGATCATTTAACCAGGAAACTTGTCTGGTGGAGGCGTTCAACCTACGAGCTGCCATTGAACAAACCAGAAAAGACTATGAAATGGCGGTGGAGGCCCTCAGCGATATGCCACCTCGCAGAGAACAAGAGCTGGACCCCGTCACGCTCCACAACCAGGCACGTGTTATAACATTACCACGGTTCAGTTGAAACAATAATTCATATTGTGTTCGTCCCGACCGCCTAATGCACGTGCACCGGACTAATGTTACCCGGAGAAGAACAAGAGGCTGATATGGCACACCCGTTCATTCGTAACAGCGATGATTTCCGTGCCTTTTCTCAGGCCCTTCTGCACATGGAGGACGATCCAACAGCAGGCTTTCGCAAGCTTAATTTTCTGTTGTCCAACCCGCCGTTTCCACCGGAGACATTCGGCAACCTGCTCCTGTTGCATTGTAAGTACGGTTACCACGAACTCGCCGCGGACATCCTGGCTGAAAACAGGTGATTGATTGCGTGCATTGTGCTGTACAATAGGTATGAGGTTACTCGACAATGTCACCAATCCGACTGCGAAACTATCATGTACGTCAAGAGGCACGAACAAGTCAATGGAGAATGACTCGTTTTCACTCTCATCATTGAATTTACCAATCGAGGTTTTAGAGCGTAGTTCGGAGAGATCTTGAAGCCGTGTAACAACTGTATCACCTCTTCGAACGTTGCCCGCTGGTGTTTGTTTCTTGCATCACATTCAAAGCCATCTCACGTATAAGTTCTTGAGCGAAGAACTGTACGAGTATCTCGATGCTGCCATCATGGTGCAAACTAGTCCGGAGGAGGCGTACCGCAAGGTGAGAATTGCGATGCGTTGGATCATCTACCTGACAATTCGTCCAGTATTGTATTTCTTTCTCCCTGCCTGCTTCACCGTGGGACGGCGTCCGTACGTGGCATGGCAATGCTACTCTTAGTAAGTTAGTACATACAGTGCTTGTTCGATGTGACACCCAAGCTCTTACGCAAACGTCAAATTGCCATTGCTCACTCCCATCCGCAGTACGATGAATTGACATCAAAGCACATCGACCAGCTACGGCAATTGACGAAGCAAATACAGGATGCTCGTATCGCCCGCGACAATGATGCTATCAAGACTAGTCTGGAGGTGAGACGCTGGGCGAGGTACGTATATCCTGGTGGAAGCTTTCAAGAAGCATATTCAGGTCATTATGGAGCTTGCTACACTATGAAAAATCAGTATTTTGGTACGTGGCGTTGCAGGATAGTTCGAACACGCCGTCTGGTGCACGAACGAAACTCCGAATTTGTCTCCGAAACATATGAGAGGATAAACATGCAAGCACAATTGAGAAGGGTGCGTGGAAGAGAAATTGGAATGGTTCTGCCTGCCCCCATCGTGTTCCGAGCGAAGCAATAAATAGCATTGTCGAGATGTTGGCGAGACGCGTGCTCTGAAGGAGCTTGTAATGTAACCCTATGCTAGAAATCAGCACATGTTCATCCGTCAATATTTGACACAATCAATCCCACTGCCCGACGTGTCGTGGACCTACGAGTGGCAGATGTACGATGCAGCCCTTGAGCGTTACATCCCTGTTTTGATGGCGATGGCGAGGATCTACTGGGATAGAGAGAATTATCCTATTGTCGAGAAGCTGTTCAGGCAGGCTGCGGAGTTCTGTTCAGATCACGATACTTGGAAATTGAACGCCGCCCACGTCTTCTTCATGGAGGAAAAATTCAAGGTACAGAGCTGTCTATTCTATTAGCGTACATAACTTGAACTATTTGTGGGTCAGAGGATCAATATTTGTATTCGTTGAGATCCAAGAACATCGTCCCTCTTCCTTGCCCTTCGATGCCTTTCAACCCTTATGCAGGAGGCCATTCGATACTACCAGCCTATCGTGAAGAAGCAGGCAGAGAGCATTCTAGAGGTTCCTGCGATTGTCCTGGCGAACCTGTGCGTGAGCCACATTATGATAAGCCAAAACGACGAGGCAGAAGAACTCATGCGAAAGGTGTGTGGTCTTCTTTAATAAAAAATATTTTTTCCCGTAGTGCAAGCAAACGAACCGTAATGTAGCTAGGTAAATAATTACGTGCAACCAATCATGTGGACCAGTCCTGCAACGTGGTTCTCCTTCCGGTCCGACGCAGATAGAAAAGGAAGAAGAGAAAGTGGCGGAACAGGATCCGGAAAAGCAATGCTTTCATCTTTGCATTGTCAATCTGGTTATCGGAACGCTCTATTGTGCCAAGGTGAGTCCAGTTAGTTTCAGTCTTTTTTGGTGTCTTGCTGAGAACCAAGTGAAAAACTATACTCTCTGTTTGGATGTTATGGCGGATTGTCTGAAGCCATGTGTGAAAACGTGGGATACTCCACCCGATAGACGTCGAAATGTTTGGTGTATGTTTGGGTGAGGCGTGCTCTTTGTTGATCTGCCTGCCAATAATCCACACGTCAACGGTTATAGAGGTGATGTTGTCGTTGTCTTCACACTAAAAACTATCCCGGTCGCTGCTCAGTTTTCCTGCCACCATCCGTACTGATTTAATTGATGCGAACGCCTTCTGTGGTCACAGGCAAGCTACCCTTAACAGAGTTTTCACATCGAAAACGAAAAATGAACATAATACGGACTCCGAATAACTCTAACAACTAACAGAACCATACGGATACGGAAAACACGCAAAAAAAGTCCCGGCCAGACAACAGTCAGACATCGCTGGCAACATATCGAAGTGTTCAAGCCTTCACGAGACTGTACCAAACGTCCAATTCTGCTTCGCAGGGAAATTTCGAGTTTGGAATCAGTCGCATCATCAAGTCCTTGGAACCGTACGAAAAAAAGCTTGGTACGGACACGTGGTTCTACGCGAAGAGATGCTTTCTGGCTCTTGCTGAGCAGGTGAAACCATTGACTTCAGATAATAATTTTGATCGAATTGGAATCATCCCTGACAAATAGTTCAGAGAGTTGTGCGTTGCGACGTTTCTCAAGGTTCGATGGAACGTCGTCTTCGACGCCACGTGTGATCTTGCGGCTGATGAGTTGTTTTCTTGAAAACAAATGGTACTCCATGTCTTGATACATCCTTGAGACGGCAGAATAGTGTTGTCGGCATGCTATGGGAAAAATGTGGTATATGATCTAGAGTCGTTCCAATTCTTTGAACTTCCCTTTTTCGACATATCGCTGATGAGTTTGTGTGATTCTAAACATGCCTTCTCTCCACCGTTCTGTTTCAAGATGTCGAAGCATATGCTGATCCTCAAGGATGCCTCCCTGTACGAGATCATCGGTTTCCTCGACGCTGCAGATCAGCATGGCCACAACATCCCAACGCAAATAGGACCACAGGTTGGTGGAAGTTGTGACTATGATTAGAAAGATTGGAAACAAGTTGATTTGTAGATAATTTGGTCTCACGTTGGTCGAGCTTCGAAATCGCTATTTCAAAATCGCAGGCACACCTCCCGTAGTAAGTTCCAGTTTTTCAGTATTGTCAAGCTGAATTGCTCAGTGAAGGAGACCAAGAGAACTTGAATGAGTAACAGGTGTTCGGCGGGTTCGTCCAGTGCGCCTCGCTGCACCGCTGGCGGCCCCCGGTCTGATGTTGTTTGACTTGTTTCGCTTGGCTGGTGAAGCAAATCAGACCTTTGGCCGATTTTAGCTATGTAATAAGTAGGCGTGTGGAACCAAGTCACAGCGTTGGATGGCTTGATTGTCAATCTCTCATCGGTCTTTACGTACGTAGTAGCTGGTCGTATGTGCTTGGGTAACATCAGCAACCATACCTTCGCCGTTGACCCCTCAAATACACCGTCGTTGGCTTTTTCGCAGGTCGACCCTGGGGGAAAACACACCCCTGACAAGTGGAACTGTACAGTGAGCTACGAGACACGACAGCTGAAAAAAATATTTTTGAAATTGCGAGATTAGGAATGGATCCACAATTTGGGAGACGTTTGTGCTGCATGTCCAAAGTAGTTGACGATGTTGCTTCGATTTTCATGTTTGATCCGGTTTAGGAGAAGAGGGAATAAGCGTTTCGCCCTTCTTGCTCCGGATTGTGCGTGGAGGTAAGTATTGTTACCATGACTTCTTTCGGAGCGTTCACGTGCAAAAGCGGAGGAACTTGGAGCCTCTTGATCAAGATAGTAAGTAATTTTTGGCCTTCAGCGCGCGCACGCACCCGGAAACTCCGCCTCACTTTTCTTCTTCGCGGCGTCAATGACTAGGTCTCTCTCTCCCATTCGACCCAGCTGCCGTGGGATCGAGGGTACATGCGCAAGGCCGACACGCACCGCCCGCAAACCTCGACTCGAACGTTCAAATTGTTCCTGGGTTACTCCAAAGATTTTTCCGGCCTAATCGTTGAATCTTCAACACAGCAGTGGTGCGGCTGAACCATGCATAAAATGTCGAAGTACTGATTTGTAAATCCTTCCCAAGAATCTCAAGATTTTTTTTGCTGTTGGGCCTGTCGGTTTGAACAGTCCGACACAAGAAGATTGAAACACCATTTCAAGAACAGTGTAAAAACACGCCAGAAATAACAAAAAACGAAAGCAGTGACAGCTGTTTCTGATGTTGAATCGTGTGTCAGCACATGGGACGGCTGATTGGCCACGCAAAATCGTCAGAACAACAGTAGACCGCACCCGTTTTCATGTCTCAAGTTTCATCCGCTGTGAACATGCTGTGTGCTGGTGAGTGTCATCAATGAAGACGGACACTACGAGTGAGTGGAGCTGTGAAGCTGGTGGAGCTGTGACAAAGGTCGGAGAAGCAAACCAAACGTACTCGTGTGTAGTGGTGTTACGCACCAGACCTCGACAGATTGCACGCGAATAAACGGAAAATGAATGCTCGGAGTTGTTGGATGGGCCCACTGAAAGAAAAGGAACCCCAAGTAGGAGCGACACCCATTTCGAGTCACTCGAAAGGCAACAAACTACTTCTATATTAATACATCCATCCAGGTCTGCTGTGCTGCGGTGCTGTCCCATACTACTTAAAACATGCTTGACCCAATTACTCTCCACATGGCGGTGGTAAAAGACCACGCAGAAATAATCAAAATATCGTAGTGTGCGGAGATCAAAAACGAAAGTACGCAGCAATGCATTAACCCTAATACGCATCCAAAAAACATTTGTGGCACGCAATTCGCTGATTGGTCAACACACCTGCGGCGGAATTTCAAAAATGTAAAAAAAAACAGGGCACGACCCAAGATCCTTGGTCGACGGGTGGGGTCACCCACGTCCAAACCACATCCTGGTGATCGGCCGGAATCCTGGGAAGATCAATCGGTTCTTCTGATGATGGCCCCCCCTTTGTTGTTGTCACCTTGGCTGACTAGGAACTGGAGAGAGAGAAGGATCCTCCCGACCGACCGACCGATCCGATCCATCCGCGTTGATATTATGCTTATCTGTAATCCTTTTCCTTTTTGCTTTTTGCATGTTCTTGCATCTCCCCCTGCCGCGATGCTATCTTTGCCTCACGCCGGAGGGAGATCTTTTGCATGAAAATAATTCAAATAATCAATCAATCCTGCGCCTTGGGCTTTGCACTTTGCATGTTCACAGCAGTGGGTGGGAATAGGACTTGACGCAAAGTCGAATCCCGATTCATACATTGAGTTTATTTAGTAATAATGTGTGAGATTCCACAGAGCTGCAAATGGCCTCACCCTGCCAGTTGCTAGGTTACTACTATTGTGATGTGGTCAAACCACACGAGGAACTAACCCGCTCGTCAACCACAAACGAAACGCGAACATGGCCCTTGTGTTTACTCACTCACACGGTGTTTGTGCGTTTGAGATTCGACAACAAATGCACACTCATTTCGTCCGTGGACCTGTGTTCTACGGGGGGCTCGGATCATAACACCTGAAGATGATGATGGCACCCCCCTTCGTCCCATCTGGGCGGCCTCTGTGTCTCCCGGACTAAATACCCCTCATTCTAAATAAACTGTGGCAAGCGATAAGTTGTTGTGTAAGGAACAAGTCGACTTCATGGTCGACGAGGGAAATCGTGGCAGAGTCCTTCTCGCCAAGAGTCAATCAAAGCAGGCACCGCCGAGCGAAGGCGGAGAATCGTGGACCAGAGTCATATGCCTTTAGCTGATCCCCCAGGCCTCCGCGGGGGGAGGCCGTGCCCCAAGACTCCATGGAGAGGGTAGAAGGGGAGACACGAGAGGAGAATATTATGTTCGGAGGTCAACAAAGGCCTCAGATGGGACAAAGAATACAATAAACAGTTCCCAGCCCCAAGCAGAGCCCGATCTACAGAATACAACGTGTGGCCTTCCTCTGTATGACAACGGCTGGTGCGTCCAGAATTGTATTAATTGTACCAAAAGGTGTAGGGCCGGCATCCAGAAAGTGAGGAATGATACAATACAAATATTCTGTACCTCTCTCGGGTTTGGTGGCTTGGCTTCCCTCCTTACGCCGTGGGGCAGGCCGTGCCTGCGGGATCACCTGAAGGTATATGGTCTTCCGGTCCATGACAGTACTAAAAAGATATCTCAGAGCAATTTTCTTTGGTCGCGCTGTCGATGTCGTCTTTTTGCGGTTTGCGTAATCGAGAACCAGACGCCACCACCGTGTAGACACGCCTGAAATCAGGCAAGGCCCAGGACCAGAATGCTCCCCCCCCGTGACCTCGGGGGGCTATGCATTCGATCCACCTCCTTGGTAATTGTAAACGTGCATTATTTCACACGAGTCTTGATCTCTCTCCATCTATCTCTCTCTCCTGCCCACATGCCAAACCCCAATCTACCATATATGTTAGACATGCAGATATTCAAGGGCGGCTTCCCACCGTGACTGCTACTACCTAGGTTTGCTGCGTCTAAAAATGCCCCCAAAGCTTATTACTACCGGAGTAGACCATACTCAGCTTGATCTCAGATAGTGGGCACCTGATTATCCCCAAGAAAAACGACAACGGTGCTCGTGAATTATAAACACCCATACACAGCGATATTATGCCAGACTAATACCACGCCAGTTCGTTTGTCAGTGCAAGTGTTCAACCTCCCATGCAAAGCGTAGAATGCCCCCATTCAACAGTGAACGGCACGCGACGCTGCAAAGTGACCACAACACGCAAGTGACAGACGACCATACACTATTGGCTGAGGCCGCACGCTCGCAAAAAGAAGAAAACTTACGCAGTGGATAGACGACCTACACATTGAAACGAAATGGGCAGGTTTTCCACACGCAGGGAAAACGATGAAGGGAACAAAAAACCCCAAAACAACGCTGAAAACCGTTACGAGCGCTTCTAGGAGTGAAGCGAAAAACGATTCCTCGGAAGCATAAATATAATTGCAACGATGGGCATGGTCGTCGAAGCAGCCATTGTCACGAAATTCAAAACGTACGCAACCCGCGAAGACAAACAAACATGATACAACAATGGGCATGGTCGTCGAACAAGCCACTGTTACGAAATTCAAAACGTACGCAGCTCGCGAATAGATTCCACCGACACGATGTCATACGGCGGCGCCCACGGAGTTCAATTCATCACCGTTGTAGACACGCCTGAAGTCAGGCAGGGCCTAGGACCAGTATCCTCCCTCCGTGGCCTCGGGGGGCTGGTCAATTCACCTCCTTGGTGATGGTAAACACAGTGTATTATTATTGCACACGAGTCTCGTCTCTCTCTCTCCATCTATCTCTATCCTGCCAACATGCCAACCAGGCAGATAGAAACCCCAATCTACCATATCTTTGACATGCATACATATCCAACGGCAGCTTCCCACCGTGAACTACTGCTACCCAGGTGCGCTGCGTCCACAGCCGTGTGAGGGTGTGGGGGTGCCACCAGGCCCTGAGGGGCCATTCGTGCGGGCGTTTCGTGGGGTTCAGCCTGGAGGTATGTCTGGGTTTGATTCTGAAGGTATCGCGGTTGATTCGGAGGAAAAATGGTGCCAAGTGAGCTTGTCGGTGCCTGGTGCTGCCGATATGACTGCCATAGACGCCGTTGCGATTCTGGATTCTGGATCAGGGCTCACCACCATGTCAGCCGGTATCGCGAGTAGGCTGCAAGCTGCTTTTCCTGATGTGCAGGTCGTGGGGGGCATGCAAAACCCGGGGAAGCTGAAAGTCGCGGACGGCCGCGTGCTTGCGGTCAACACAGAAAACATGCCCCGTGCGGATCGCTTTGCGCACCAGCTGGGGCTGGTGTCGGTGGACCCGCTCTCGTTTGCGGTCATGCCTGGCAATGATGAGGTGGTCATTCTTGGCAACCCGACCCTAAAGGCGTTGGGTATCGATGTGTACGAGAGCTTGAGGGCCTGTGCGCGTTCGCGCGCTAGCGTCGCGGGTGTTGAGACCACGGCGTACAAACAATGCCGCCGAGTTACGCTGGCTGTCGATGCACTGCAGCAGCGCGAGGGTCCGGAGCAGGTCGAGCCGATCCCGCGGTCGAGCGTTTGGTGGAGCGAGGCCCCGATATGGACATGGGCCCGGAGGAGGAGGCATCGGCGCGGTCTGCATCGTTGGACAGCGCTGTCTCTTCCGCTGCTGCCGCTGGCTTGGAGGAACCGCATGTAGGGCGTCTGCGAGGCATCATCAGCAAGCGCTGGAATGCGTTCCGCCGTGGTTTACGCCATGGTGACCCTCCCGCGAACGTCGAGCCTCTACGGGTCACCCTTAAGCCCGGAGCGCGACCGGTCAAAGCACGACCTCGGGTGTACAACCCGATCAACACCGCGTGGCTGGCGGGGTGCAGGGCGTCGCTGGTCGCGTTGGGGTTGGTGTTCCTCAACATGCAGGCCGTGTGGGCCAGCGCCGCGATGGCGACTCCGAAGAAAGGGGGATACCCGGCTGGTGAGTGACTTTCGTGCGGCAAACAAGCAAGTAGAGAAGGTGCCTGGTGTGATGCCGAACCCTGAAGCCAGTA